TCTTTTTTTTTTTTTTTTTAAAGACAGGTTAATGGACCAGTAGATGGTGTAATGGTTATACCACTGGACTTCCACATAGTAGAGTCCTGGACCCAGTGACATAGAACTCATGCCAGGTACATGTGCATGCGTGCCCACCCAAGATCCTTTTTTTTTTCTTTGCTATAGGACACATGTGCTCACCAGAAAGACAGAGAGAGACAGAGAGACAGAAAGCGAGAAATGACCCCCCAGGGGGTATGGTCACACCGCAATCCCTTCTCCTCCAGTCTCCTCTCAGGATCTTGGGCACGCATGCACATGTGCCCGGCGTGAATTTAAGCCACTGGGTCCAGGGCTCGAACCGCAGTCGACTACATGGGAGTTCAGCGACATAGCCATTACGCTAACTGCTGGTGCCCCCACCCAAGATCCTGAGAGGAGAACTGAGAAGGGATTGCAGTGTATCCATCCCCACTGGGGAGTGATTTCTTGTTTTCTGTCTCTGTCTCTCTAGCAAGCGTATGTTCCCTAGAGTAAAAATCTCTCTAAAAAAAACCAGAAAAAGAAACAAGTTAATCAGAGGACTCCATTCCAGATATCAAAAGAAAAAAGAAGTTATCTGTTGTGTGTTTACCATAGGAGATTCCACAATAAACCCACAAAAATTTCTGCCCTTTAAAAACAAATGCTTTCATAGGGAGAGAATAGCCTCTTTTAGTGAGGGAAGTGTCAGTGCCATATGTAGCAAATGCTACAAGGTGGGGCAGGAACTCTGGTGCAAGTGCTTGTCTCACTCAGGGTGGTCAGAGAAAAGGGCATGTAAGCAAAGCCCTTAAGGAAAGTGGGTGGAGCCAGCATCCCTATTTCTGGAATACAGCAAAGGGGATAGCCATATATTGCTAGGACTGGATCTGCATGGAGAGAGCAATGAGGGCAACTAAGGGAGGGGGTTTGTCTCATGGCGCAAAGATTCGGGCAGTGGCAGAGAAACGTCAAAAAAAAAGGTGAGGCATCATGCTAGGGTGCTAGTGGATACTTCTGCTGTGGTGCTGAGGATGTAGGGAGTGAGGTCCAGAGTGTAAGTCAGCAGGCAGTCAGGCAGCTAAAATAATAGACTAGGAAAAGGCTGGAGGGCCATGCCAAAAGGCCTCAAAGGAGGCACTGGGGCAAGGAAGTCACCTTCTGCAGTAGCATGAGTGTGGACAAGATTGTGTGTAAACAAGATGGAAACAGGAGAAGCAGGGCATCTGGAAACAGAGGGGACAGGGTAGGGACAAGGATGAGATCCTGAGGCCAACATGGACCTCTGACTGCCTCAATGAGAATGGATATGGCCTATACTTAAATTGGGAAGACCAAGATAAATTATATTCTACTGAGTTATATTCTACTGCCAGGCCCGTGAGTTCTTAAGGTAAGTTTCATGAGATCAGAGCCCAACTTCCCAGTGGTAGAGCAAGACACATGTCCACAACCCTAGGAGAGGCAATCTTCAAGATACTGCCTAGGGATCAGCAGCTGGTGTAGTGACTATGTTGCTGGATTCCCATGTGTTCAATCGTGGTTCGAGTCTTGGACCCGGTGGCTTAAACTCATGCTGGGCACGTGTGTATGCATGCCCAGGATCCCGAGAGGAGAATGGAGAAGAGATTGTGGTGTGGTCATCCCGCCCAGGGCCTGATTTCTCGCTTTCTATCCCTCTGGCTCTCTGAAGAGTGCATGCACCCTATAGCAGAAACCTCTCTGGAAAAAAGAAAAAAAAAAAAAAAAGATACAGCCTGTGCCTGTCCTCATTTCCTGACCTCCACTTGACCTAACTCTGAAAATGCAAATGTTAATTCAACTCTTGTTAAAATGAAGTGGGAGAAGGAGAGCCCTGAGGAGGCATGCAGTGTCTGAATGCTGACCTGGTACAGGAGATGCCCACTTTCCCTGCATGGCCCAAGTCCAGGAGGCCTTTGGCCAGGTTCTCCTCAGCAATGGGACACTCTGCACTGGGCACCAGTGCCTTCAGCTGGTCATTCACGTCCACACAACAGGGCGCTGCAGGAAAGGCCCGCATCTGGCGCCTCAGTTTCTTCCGGGCTGCAACAGCTTCCCTCCACCTGGTGGACACACAAACACAGAATCACTAGGTATTAATATTTTCCAGATTCACCCCAGAGGACAAATACAAAAACATGCTTCAGCATCCTGACACAGAAAAACACATTTTTGGTAATCTGTTTGGGTCTCTTCCAGCAAGTCCTCAAACAGGAAAAACAGATCAGAATTAAAACTCAAGCATAGGAGTCATGATATCAAATGATAACTATGAGCAATGAAACTATCAAAGAGCTATATTGAACAATCTTTGGAGGCTGATTTGGCAATATGGATACAAGTATAAGACGCGAGTGCCCTTGGTCTAGTTGGACTTTATCTCCAGATACGTGTGCAGACATGTTTACACAAGGAAGGTCACTGCAGCACTCTTAGCCATAGGAGAAGAGAGCAGGCTGCATGAAAGATGGTCAGCAGGCGACCAAGAAGGTCATTTTGGTACATTTGCAAAATGATAACCCCCTCAATATTACTGACAATAGTAGGAAGAGCTTGAGATTCTGCTATGGTTAGGCCTCCACCTTATATCAAATAAAGAAAAGCTTAGAATAGAGCAAGGAATATACTCCCACTTCTGTCAACAACCACACAAAAAGGACAGAAATCTTCTGGATAAGGTACACAAGCAGCTGCAACTTCTGAGGTATGGACAAGGGTCTGTTATAAAAAAGGGACTCACTTTTCTTTGTATCCCATATATAGGGTAGTGATTTCCAAGGACATTGTTACATACTTTAAAATTTATTATGAAATGAATCACTGTATAACATACATAACACATATATGTCCTGTTTAGAGATTACTGCTCAAACATTTACATACTTCTGTCCATTTGAGAAACTATGGCTGTAACCACCACCCCACCTATTCTCAAAGGGAACCAATAGACTGAGTATGTATATTCATTATGTTCCTTCTACTACTATATATAAATCCCAATTTATTTAGTTTGAATTTTCATTATTTTGTAGAGGTCAGAGAGAAAAAGAGACAGGGAGAGGGAGAAAGCATCCTCCATTTGGATGTGGTCATGCCACAATCCATTCTCCCATTTCTCCATCCTGTTGGGATTTGGGTTATGTATGTATACAAACGGAGCATGTTTTTCAAGCTGCTGAGGCTGGGATTCAAACCTCCTAGGCAGCCATGTAGGATATAGCTCCCCAACCTCTAGGCCAAAGGCCAACACTGAATACACACTATATATTGTATTTATTTCCCCAAAATAGCTTTTTTTCTTAGTAATTATGTTTTGGAAATTCATACATGGAGCAGCAGGTAGCATAGTGGTTAAGGTGCTAGACTCTCACATGGCCAGTTGAGGTTTGAGCCCTGGACCTGGCAGCTTGAAAATCACGCTAGGCATGTGTGTGTGCGTGTCCCAAATTCCAAGAGAAATATTAAAGAAAAGGGACTGTGGTATGGCCGTCCTCCTGGGGGGTAATTTCTCACTTTCCTTCTGTCTTTCTCTGGTGAGCAAAAGCACCCTATGAAAAACGTAAAAAAAAGGAAAAGAAAAACTCATATATGTTGGTGCATGGAGCCATAATTTGACTTGTTGACAACAATTTCCCAGTGTCTAGCAAAGAGTAAATAGAAGACAGCCTATAAATACCTATTGAAATACAGAGCAGCTGTCACTCCCCAACTGAATTCCTTCCTTACTCCCTTTATTTACAAAGCACACATGTGCATGTATGTATACATAATTGTTTCTATATAAAAGTATAATCCAATTAGAATAGAGTCCATGGGGCTGGCAGGTGGTGTGGTAGTTAAGGGCACTGGACTCCCACATGGCTGACGGCAGTCTGAGTCCCAGACCTGGCAGCTTGCTTGAAATTTGAATTTGATAAAACTTCCTGTGTGTGTGGGATTCTATCTTCTACATGATTTTATCTGTAAGCACAAATGACTTACCGTTGTAGATACTTGCAGAAACACTGAAGTTCCTGGAGTGTCTCCTTTGCAGTCTGAAAAATTTCCTCCACAAGAAATAAGTCCACCAGGTGGGTACAAACATCCTCACAGCAACGGGCCATGCGGACCCTCTGGTCTATCTCCACAGCATTCCTAGGAAACAAGGCAATCAACACGGAAGATACTGCACCAGGGCAGATACCCCCAGATACTTGCTTTAAAATGCAAGTCTACATTCTTTTTTTTTCTTTTTTTTGAGTTTTTTCCTATAGGGTATGTGCGCTTGCTAGAAAGACAAGGAGAGACAGAGAGACACAAAGCAAGAAATCACCCCCAGGGGGGATGGCCACACCACAGTCCCTTCTCCTTTCAGGATCATGGGCGCACAGGCACCTAGCGTGAGTTTAAGCCACCGGGTCCAGGACCTGAACCATGGTCGACTACATGGGAGTCCAACAACATAGCCATTAC